ATAATGAAATAATAATATACACTTATTTAATATATTATCCAATATAAGTTAATATTAGTTTCAGTTAGTTTTATTAATATAAATAAACAAAGTGTTGAGATAAAGGCCTACTGTGTATATTTTCTAAGTTTTCATACACCCCTTAAAATCAAGAAGGCCTGGCAATCCCCCGTTATGCTTAGGTGACCCCTTATAAGGGTTGTGACCCCCAGGTTGGGAAGCATTGCAGTATACTACAGTAGAGTTTTCTTTTTTTAATCTGTTTTCAGCTTTATTGCTGGAACTCGTATTAGCTCTGACAGAAACAGTCTACACTCATTGGAAGAGGAAGAGTGGAGTTTGGATTAAAGAGCAGCAGACTGTGAGATGATTTACAGGTTCCCAAGAGGACAGGAAAAGATCCAATAGAAGCCATGCTGGCCCAGCTTGGACTTAAGGCTGCTCCTGGCTAATGTCCGGTCTGGATGAGACAAACAACAGGAAATCTTTACAGAGACCTGCTCCATCAACATCCCGGATCCACAACAGGCAGACTATGTTCAGAGTCGTCAGAGTGCAGGACGAGAGGGGGCGGACTGTTTCCATCGATTATATTTGGTGCTCAAAAGCAGTCAAAGTGTATGGACTCTTTTTGTTTTCGTGTGAAGATTATCATCACTATCTTGTTGCTGCCGGGGAGCGGGGCATGAATGAGCCACAGAACCGGAGCAGGACCTGAATGAGCCACGGAACCGGAGCAGGGTCCAGATGAGCCACAGGACCAGAGTGGGGCCTGAATGAGCCACAGAATCGATCGTATCGATCAGCCATTATTAGTTTCAGTGAAGTTGGAAGTTATTTATTCCGTGTGTTGAACAACCAGACTCTGTGATCTTATGTATACACATTATAATCAACACATTAAGATTAGAAACATCGACGAGGACAATCTTTCGTCGGGCTTTAGTGGTATTGTTTTTAAGGAGGTTTATTAATTATTATCCTCTTGTTGCACTGCTGTGGGCTCTGAGGCATTTTATTGTTTATGAATACAATATAATGAAAGGGATCTTGAAATCTAGAGACCAGTAGACCAAATCAAATCAACTTTACTGATAAAGCACATTTAACAACAACCTTTGTTGACCAAGTGGTACACAGTTTCCTTTTTCTAATTCTGCCTCCAGTGTTTCCTCATTGCAACTTGATGAGATAGCATTTCCTCAGTTTGTGTTTTTATTTAGTGTTGTACTGTTCACCAACCACTTACTTTACTCTGTGTGTGTGTGTGTGTGTGTGTGTGTGTGTGTGTGTGTGTGTGTGTGTGTGTTTCACTTTGTGTTACCTTTTGCATGCATGAAAAGTGCTATACAAATACAATCTGATTGATTGATTGATTGATTGATTGATTGAGTATACCACAATAAAGTCCAATAGAGTCCAGTAGAGTCCCTGCGGTCTGACCTGTGGTGTGTTCAGATGTCAGACTGATACACTCTGAAGATAATGACTCAAACTGATTTTACAGTCTTTGACCTTTGAACTTTGGGGGTCATTAAACATTCCCAGATTTGGCAGACCCTGATTTTCAGATTTTCAAAAAATGGCAGTGATTATCTTTGATAATAAGGAAATGTTTATTAAGTAGTTTTTGTTTTTTAAGTTATTTTTTGGGCCTTTTATTGGATAGTGACAGCTGTAGATAGGCAGGAAAGGTGGGTAGAGAGAGAGGGGATGACACGCAGCAAAGGGCCGCGGGTTGGATTCGTACCCGGGCCGCTGCAGCAACTACATACATGGGTTGCCAGCTCTACCGACTGAGCTAACCAGGCGCCCTATGAAGTAGTTTTTAATTCAAATAAAATCAATAAAACTTGCAGCCATTATTTTATTGTTGGGTTAATGTTGGGTTATCGTTGGGTTATCATTCGGTTATCATTCGGTTATCGTTGGGTTAGTGTTAGGTTAATGTTGGGTTATTGTTGGGTTATCGTTGGGTTTAAATAAATACATACATATAATAATAATATGTCACTGTTCTCTGAGCCTCAACACATTAACCACCCTTCTTCTTCTGTGGTGGAGACAGTTTGTTTCTCCTCTGAGACTCTTGTTCTTAATATGAAACAAGTTTCACTCTGTCATAAACCAGCTTTAGATGAATAAGAGGATCAAATGAAGCTTTAAGAAGTGAATAATCTGTTAGATATTAACCTGTATATAGATATATATATAAATAAAGCAACAGATTTAAGATGAAGAAACCTGAGTCACTATGAGACAAACACAATGAATGTATGAAGGAAAAACTCACCTGAGGCTCTGACTCTGGAATGTGTTTAATACAAAAGCTCCATTTAAAAACAGCCTCATAAAAGTGCAAACAGTGGTTAGTGTGAGTGATGGAATCTGGGTGGTCTGCCTCTCCAGGGAGGGTGGGGCCCGGTGTTGGGGTGGGCATATTTCCACTGTAGAGTCCTGCTTTACTGTCTCTGTCTGTTGTTCTTATTAAGATAAAAACATCAGAGTTCATATCAGAGTTTGCTCAGCTTTCTGGTCGTCTGCTGAAAACAGACCTAACTCAACAAAACACACATTTCATCTCACCATGTTCAGTCAGTTTGTAGTCACATTTTCAAAGTTTAGTTTTACTGTAAACTGTTCTTTCATCATACAGTAATGGTTGTGTGTAGGAAACACAAAAGGTTCATATTCAGTCATATATCTGGAGTTGTCTTTTACAAATAAACTGATGAGATGAAATAAAAGATAAAATAATGACTTTGGACTCTGTGTTGTGGACTCTGTGTTGTGGACTCTGTGTTGTGGACTCTGTGTTGGACTCTGTGTTGTGGACTCTGTGTTGGACTCTGTGTTGTGGACTCTGTGTTGGACTCTGTGTTGGACTCTGTGTTGTGGACTCTGTGTTGGACTCTGTGTTGTGGACTCTGTGTTGGACTCTGTGTTGTGGACTCTGTGTTGGACTCTGTGTTGTGGACTCTGTGTTGTGGACTCTGTGTTGTGGACCCTGTGTTGTGGACTCTGTGTTGTGGACTCTGTGTTGGACTCTGTGTTGTGGACTCTGTGTTGGACTCTGTGTTGTGGACTCTGTGTTGGACTCTGTGTTGGACTCTGTATTGTTGACTCTGTGTTGGACTCTGTGTTGGACTCTGTGTTGTGGACTCTGTGTTGTTGACTCTGTGTTGGACTCTGTGTTGTGGACTCTGTGTTGTGGACTCTGTGTTGTTGACTCTGTGTTGGACTCTGTGTTGTGGACTCTGTGTTGGACTCTGTGTTGTGGACTCTGTGTTGGACTCTGTGTTGTGGGACTCTGTGTTGGACTCTGTGTTGTGGACTCTGTGTTGTGGACTCTGTGTTGTGGACCCTGTGTTGTGGACTCTGTGTTGGACTCTGTGTTGTGGACTCTGTGTTGGACTCTGTGTTGTTGACTCTGTGTTGGACTCTGTGTTGGACTCTGTGTTGGACTCTGTGTTGTGGACTCTGTGTTGTTGACTCTGTGTTGGACTCTGTGTTGTGGACTCTGTGTTGTGGACTCTGTGTTGTGGACTCTGTGTTGGACTCTGTGTTGGACTCTGTGTTGTGGACTCTGTGTTGTGGACTCTGTGTTGGACTCTGTGTTGGACTCTGTGTTGTGGACTCTGTGTTGGACTCTGTGTTGCCAACTGTTGGCACTCGGGAGCATAAAGGTCACAACCTTTGACCCTCATCCTACATAGAGACACATAGAGATCAGTCCACAGACAGCAGAGGGACAAAGCTCCACTACAACCTGTTCACTCTCTGCTCATCAATCATAATAAAAAACTAAAAAATGAAATGATTCATTCTGACATATGAAAGCTAACTGTACTGTGTGACTGCCTCAATATTAAACTCAGAGAGGAGATATAAATATTAATGAAGTTACGGGTGGACTGTCGGGGGCTGTAACTACTCCAGGGTTTGAGGGGCCCAGCTGGGGGCCACGTTTACAGGTTGTGAACAGAACATACAAACAGTGAAACAGAGAACGATCACATGATGCTGACGAATGAAAATGTATACATTTAATGAAGTGATTTAAAGCTCCACCCGGTGAGCACACTCAATGACACAAATCAAACACACCCACAGAACAAGAAGCTCAGAGAGGCTTTATCTGTGTGTGTGTGTGTGTGTGTGTGTGTGTGTGTGTGTGTGTGTGTGTTGGAGGTTATTTTGGGGAGCAGCAGATATGAAACATCCTTTAACGTCAGGAAGTCTGCAGGATGTTTTCTCCTCTGTGACATTTGAAGGTTCAAATGTTCACTAACATCTTTAAAGTCTCATTAAATATTTTCTTTATATTTATTCCAAAGTTCAGATGAATTTAATATTAATAATAATATGAATAATGTCACTGTGTATTTTAAATATAGTGTATATATACTATTTAATAGAAGTTTTTACACCTTTTTCTATAATATTATAAAGTCATTAATGATTTTTTCATATGAACTTTATTTAAAACAATATTTTGAAACATGATTTATTTCAGTAACTCAAAGGAGCAGAAATATATCATTAATATTGATCGGTATTTTATCAATGTGTGTGTTGTTATTGATGATTCAACTTCAGACATATATACATATACACCTTTATTTCAACTCCATTGATTATTTCATTGATCTTATTGATTAGGTGGTCACACACACTGGTTATTTATATGATTATATATATTATTTATATATTGACAATCAAACAGACTGATCCTTTAGTTCTGATGAAAACAGATCAAATACAGACCGTCACAGACCCTCAGAGACTTTAAGAGACCCTCTGAGCCCCATTGATCCTTACTGATCCTCAATGATTGGCTCATTCCTGACAATTTGATCACTTTGTTGACATTTGATTTTACAGTGAACTGGAAGAAGACCGGGGACTGTGAGGACTTCCAGGTGTGGCTGTGGAGCTGCGGGTCCGGTTTCTCCTCCGGGAGGGGCGGGGACAGTTCTGGGGGGCGGTGATGAAGAGGAGGAGCAGTTGGTCTCGGTTCAGTCTGTCGCAACGTTTTCTTCTTCTCTTTGTTTCAAAGTTCTGATGGACGAACCGGATCAAACCGGATCACATCTGGATTAAAGGACCCGGACCAGGAGCGGATGATGGGTCTAGAGGGCGGGCGGACTTAGTGGAAACTTTTCTTTTGGTCTCCATGGAGATGGAAGTTTTTCCCGCCAGCTGAGGAGCAGATCACACTCTGATCGAGTATCGATAGTTTATATTGATCGTTGATTGATCAGCGGGATGGCGGCCCTGCTCGCACTCCTGCTCGCGCTCTGGACCTGCGGACACGCCAAAAGCGCGTTCCCGCTGCGACCCTCCTACAGCCTGTACACCGGCGGACACGCGCACGCGCATGGAGCTCGCGCCGCCAGCAGACACAGGTAGGCTGACACGTGCACGGAAAGCCTGATGATGATGATGATGATGATGATGAAGAGGGTGGAGGTGACGTCAAGGTTTGATGACCTCACCACAGTTTTAGTGTGTGCGCAGCAGGTATTTTATTGTGAAAGAGCTGACAGGAAGTGTCAGGAGGTTGCTGGTTTGAATCTCAGACAGATCAGCTGATGATGTCACAGCTTTGTTTCCATGTCAGCAGAGCTGTCAACACACACACACACACACACACACACACACACACACACTGTAACACACACTGAAACACACTGTAACACATACACATACACACACACTGTAAAACACACACACACACACACACTGTAACGCACACTGAAACACACTGTAACACATACACATACACACACACTGTAAAACACACACACACACACACACTGTAACACACACACACACTCACACACACACGCACACACTGTAACACACACACACACACACACACTCACACACACACGCACACACTGTAACACACACACACACACACACACACACTGTAACACACACACACACTCACACACACACACTGTAACACACACACACACACACTCACACGCACACACACACACATTGTAACACACTGTTTCCTGTCTGAGGAGTAGAAGTTGGTTTTTGGATTAAAAAGTTACAGATCAGTGATGAAGATGAAGACGATAATGAAGAGGAGGAGGAGCAGACTGGCACCATCCTCACATCACAGTCTGATCCCTGTTAGTCCAGGAAGGCCGAGACCTAGTCCCACTGTCAGACTGTCAATATTGATATATATATATATATATATCAATATTGATGTTCAACAAACAACAAAATTAAAGTTTGCAGTTCCTCATTCGGGTCCCGCTCCGGTTCTGTGGCTCATTCGGGTCCTGCTCTAGTACAGTTAGCATATCTAGCAGTGCAGCGGTCAGAGACTTCCTGTGTTACAAGAGAAAAGGTCCGTGTTGCAACAATCCTGTTTTTATATCAGACTTATTTCTATTCATATATTCAGATATGTGTCAATTCAATTCAATTCAATTCAATTCAATTTCAATTCAATTTTATTTGTATAGCACCAATTCATAACAGAAGTTATCTCAGGACACTTTTCAAATAGAGCAGGTCTAGACCGAACTCTTTAAAACATTAATTACAGAGACCCAACAGTACCACCATGAGCAAGCACTTGGCGACAAGGGCAAGGAAACACTGCCTGTTAAAAGGCAGAAACCTAGGACAGATCCTCCGGCTCTAGGTGGGTGGTCGTCTGTCTCGACCAGTTGGGGTGAGAGAGAGGGAGGCAGAGAGAGAGAGAGAGAGAGAGAGCGAGAGACAGACAGGTGCACAGCAACAACAGTATTGGCAATGGCAATCTAGCAGGACCATGGCAGGAGGCTCCACCAGGATCGACAAGAACCTGCGAGACGAGAAAGCACAAGAACTCCGGGGAAGAAGTGAAGTTAGTAACATGCATTAATGGAACATGAATGAGTGCAGAAAGAGAGAGGAAGGGAGGAGCTCAGTGCACCATGGGAAATCCCCCGATGGTCTAGGCCTATAGCAGCATAACTAAGGGATGGTTCAGGACTCACCTGATCCAGCCCTAACTATAAGCTTTATCAAAGAGGAATGTCTTAAGCCTACTCTTGAATGTGGTGAGGGTGTCTGCCTCCAGAACCACAACTGGAAGCTGGTTCCACAGGAGAGGAGCTTGGTAACTGAAGGCTCTGGCTCCTGTTCTACTTTTAGAGACTATAGGAACCACAAGTAGCCCAGCATTCAGAGAACGTAGTGTTCTAGTGGGGTAATAGGGTACTATGAGCTCTTTAAGATATGATGGGGCCTGATCATGAAGAGCTTTATAGGTGAGGAGGAGGATTTTAAATTCTATTCTACATTTTACAGGGAGCCAATGCAGAGAAGCTAGTACAGGAGAGATGTGATCTCTTTTTCTAGTTCCTGTCAGTACTCGTACTGCAGCGTTCTGAATTAATTGGAGCGTTTTAATGGACTTATTGGGGCAACCTGATAATAAAGAGTTGCAGTAATCCAGCCTTGAAGTCATGTGCAGCTGTTGCGGGGGAACATGAGGGCTTTCTGGCAGACCTTTTGAAGCCTTTATGAGGGTTTGTTGTCCAGCAGAAGTTAGCATTGTTACAGCTAATGGCTAACAGCTAACTACCGTTACTGTGTATTATCCATTATGTTCTAAAATAAAGAAGTTCTAAGTGTGGAATTCCCCACATTGACCTGAGAGATTCAATTCAATTCAATTTTATTTGTATAGCGCCAATTCATAACAGAAGTTATCTCAGGACACTTTTTCAAATAGAGCAGGTCTAGACCGAACTCTTTAAACATTAAATGGAGTGGATGGAAACGTTTCACTGTATGGACGTCATAGGATTGTTGTCAGAATATATTTTATATATATTTTATTTTATCATGTTTATAGTGAGTGATGATGTCAGTATTGAAAAAAAGGTCTTAACATGATCAAACAGTCTGGAGTTCCAAAATCAATCATTAAGTTTTTAAAAACAATAAAAAACACCAAAGTGTAAAGCAACCAAATTAAGAAAAAGGTCTGATGGGCCCAGATATCTTTTTCTTTAAACCCAGAAATAAAGGCAGAGAACTGGACTAAAAGACTGACAGTATCTACCAAAGGACATCCTGCACCGGGTCAGAGTACCCTGCAGTTCCCGCCTCTCTGATGCCTTCAACAATGAACTTGAAAATGAAAAAGTCTAAGTATATATCTAAGTTTACATTGGCAGAAGTCCCTGAACTTGGAGAGCCACTGATAACTGTTGATGGCAGTTGGTGATTCATTTTCTCTCTAATAGTAATAATTTTATCATAGAAGAAGCTCATGAAGTCATTGCTACTTAAGTTTATGGGGATATGTGGCTTAATAGAGCTGTGACTCTCTGTCAGCCTGGCTACAGTGCTGAAGAGGAACCTAGGGTTGTTCTTATTTTCTTCTATTAGTGCTGAGTAATAGGCTCCTCTGGCATTACGGAGGGCCTTTCTATAAGTTTTAAGATTATCATTTCCTTTCAGATTTCCGCTCTAAAAAAGGGTTAGGTCATGAGGTGACTTGCTTTTAAAATGCTTGTTTTCTGAATGGAGTTTGGTTGATCAGGGGCTGTTTCTGTCTGTTGGAAAAAAAGTTACACATTTTCTGCTTTTTCCTCTGATGTCTGTGCCTTCTCTGATCAGCTCTCAGGGTTTTACAGAGTTCATTGATGGACGTTTACTGGTAGCTATTAGCTAACTGCTAACTGCAGCTAACAGAGTGGGAGCTTCTAATGTCCACTAATTCAACTTCCTACTGACTCAAACACACACTTTTATGAGGCACACACACACACACACACACACACACACAGACACACTGTTGGGCAGTGAAGCAGTTGTGATGTCATCGGCAAAACTGAAACAAATGCCCAGATTACTCATTTCCTGTAGTGACATCACTGTGTGTGTGTGTGTGTGTGTGTGTGTGAAACATTAAAACATCATCAGTAGAAATGTTTTGATGTTTTTCTGCATTCAATTTTTTATTTTTGATAAAACAGAATTCATCTCAGGACACTTTTCTAATAGTGCAGGTAGCAACAACTGTACTAATAGAAATTACTGATGATGACAACGAGGACAATAATAATATGATAATAATAATAATAATAATAATTTCAGTAATTGTTATAATATCAGTTATAATAATAATATAAATTAATAATAATAGTAATAACAATAGTAACAATTATATCAGTGATATTAGTAATGGCAGTCAAGCAGGACCATGGCAGGAGGCTCCACCAGGATCCATGAGAACCTGCGAGATGAGAAAGCACAAGAACTCCGGGGAAGAAGTGAAGTTAGTAACATGCATTAATGGAACATGAATGAGTGCAGAAAGAGAGAGGAAGAGAGGAGCTCAGTGCACCATGGGAAATCCCCCGATAGTCTAGGCCAGGGGTGTACAAACTACGGCCTGTGGGCCAACTGCGGCCCATGGTAGAAGTTTAAGTTTTGCCACGAGACAAAAATGACGGAACCAAAGAAACGCAAGATAGCGAGCGTGTAGAAAATGTTCAGATTTCAATTTCAGACACGGTGGGAAAATGAATATTTCTTCACAGAAGCTAAGGGGAAATGTGTCTGTTTGATTTGCAATGAAACTGTTGCAGTGATGAGAGTACAATGTATGAAGACACTATGAATCCAAACATCAGACCTACACGTCCTCTACTGGTGCCGAGCGAGAACAGATGGTTAAACAAATGGCAGCTAGCCTGTTAGCTCAACAACAGTATTTTTTCCGTGATAACAAAACACAGGAAATGCCACAATAGCTAGCTACTAGGTAGCTCAGCACATTGCCCGACACGGGAAGCCTTTCTCAGATGGTGACTTCATAAAACAGTGCCTCACTAAAGTAGCAGGAATAATGTGCCCAGAAAAAATGCGGGAATTCAACAACGTTAGCCTGTTCAGAAACACAGTTGGGTGGTGAATCGAAGACTTGTCAGCATGTTAAACATCAACTGTCAGATAAAGCTTTTGATTTTTACTCCGTTGCATGTGAGAGCACAGATGCCACAGACACGGCACAGCTGGTAATTTTTTTGCGTGGAGTTGAAGATAACTTTTGCACTATGGAGGAGCTGCTTGATCATAGGAGTCTAAAGGGCACAACAACGGGTAAAGACATTTTTGAAGCCGTGTCAGATGCAATTGACAAGATGGGACTAACATGGAACAAGCTGTGTGGAGTTACAATGGATGGGGCTCCAGCAATGACAGGCGAGCGCAAAGGAATGACCTCGATGGTGTGTGCCAAGGTGCAAGAGAGCAACAACTTCACACGCACATGAAAGCATTCTGTGTGAAGCTCCGTCTGTTTGAGACACAGCTGCGCAGCTTCAATGTTGTGCACTTCCCCACGCTGTTTGAAATCAAACATCCTTTTCCAAAGGCCAATCTTTCTGCTAATATGTGTCCATGATCACATCTCTCATGACAGAATTCAGTCAGTGCTTCGCTGGTGGATGCAGAAGAAGTGGAAGAGAGTCTGCAATTAGAACTTATCGAAATGCAGTGTGATGATTCTCTGAAGAATCAACATCAGCTTCTCTCCTTACCTGAATTTTACCGGAGTTTGGAAAAGGCCAAGTTTCCTCTGATGAGATGCCACAGAAAACGAATGATGTGTCTATTCGGCTCAACATACATATGTGAGCAGACATTTTCCCTGTTAACTCTGAACAAAAGCAGACTGAGAACCAAAATGGCCGACAGCCATCTCTGTGATGTCCTCCACATCTCAACCACCAAACTTACTCCTGACCTGCCAGCCATCCTTCAGTCCACTGAGTGCAACGCTGTTTCCATTATAGGTGAGTTAAAAATATATTACACAGTATTCATGTGTTAATAAGCCCAATTACTTCATGAATTAAGTCAATTTATGTTGATAACATTTGTCTAACAAAAGTCAGTTGATCTGTTATCAAGCCCAATAACTTATTTGCATAACAAGCTTGAAATATACTTATTCCCCTTTTCCCCTTATTTCCCCCCTTTATACAGGGCTGTGAAGGGGGATCACCATCCTGAATAAGAAGCAACCCGAAACTGCTGTTTTGAGAATTAACTGCCACCCTTTTTGTAACAAAATAAATTAATAAATTAAAACCCATTAATAGAAAGATGTGAGTGATGTAGGCTGTTTTTTTCTTTAAGCATATTCAATTATCAAACATTATTTATCTACATTTGATTGATTTTGCCAACTTCAATACACTAAAGGTGAGGCGATACACTTCACTATAGTGAGTGGCCCAGCCCCTTCATATATTTTTCCGTATGTGGCCCTAAGTGAAAAAAGTTTGGACACCCCTGGTCTAGGCCTATAGCAGCATAACTAAAGGATGGTTCAGGACTCACCTGAGCCAGCCCTAACTATAAGCTTTATCAAAGCGGAACGTCTTAAGCCTACTCTTAAATGTGGAGAGGGTGTCTGCTTCACAGGAGAGGAGCTTGGTAACTGAAGGCTCTGGCTCCTGTTCTACTTTTAGAGACTATAGGAACCACAAGTAGCCCTGCATTCAGAGAATGCAGTGTTCTAGGGGGGTGATAGTGTGCGCTCTTTAAGATATGAAGGGGCCTGACCATGAAGAGCTTTGTAAGAGAGGGGCTTGGTAGCTGAAGGCTACAGTAACCCAGAATGGATAAATACTGGATCCTGATAGAGACTTTACTGTAGTTTATATACACACTGACGGCTGAGCAGTATTCAGTTGGTTGTAATATGCAACTCCAGCACATAAGTGCATCCATGTTAACTGTTTGGGTTTGGTTTCTGTGTCTGATGTCACTCGTTCCTTCAGCATTATATCATCCTTTTATCCAGAGTCACACTGTGTACTAACTGTTGCTCTTTTTAAGGCGGAATTGTAGTTGGACAGTGAGTGTTGGAAAAAAAATGATTTGTCCTCCACAGTTTTTGTATTGAATTCATTTTCCGTCAGTCAGGATAACAAAAGGTGATTAGACCAGAAGTGACTGATGTAGATCTGACGACGTCCATAATATAATATAATATAATATAATATAATAATAATAGGAATTCGGTCTAGGCCTGCTCTATTTGAAAAGTGTCCTGAGATAACTTCTGTTATGAATTGGCGCTATACAAATAAAATTGAATTGAATTGAATTAATATCTTTATTTTTGTTCAGAATCAGATCTTTAATTCAAAACTGATTGAACTCTTCTGTATGAATTGTTGGATAGGGCTGCAGTCAACCAAAGAAAATTCAGCCTCTTCAATCCATTGATATTACTAGCTGCTAATAAAAGTCACACAACATTGCCAAATGAAATCCTGCAGTGTGATGTGATGAGGGTCCCCACCCTGGTGGTTCTGTATTGTTCCCTTTTGTTCTTTGCAGCAGACAGAGTGGCAGAGGGTGTGGCTAGTAGATGAGCTACAGCTGATTCCTTCCTGATTACTTGGCTTTAAAGGGGGTTGATCAGTTAGTTCTCTCCTTCCAGCCATCAGGTCCTGGGTTTGTGGCTGTTTTTGGTTTGCTAAATCCCATGACCTTTTTCAACACACTCACTACACTACTGACAACACTGATGTATGTATATATTTTTTAAACGTCTGGATGTTTGTTAGCAGAAGTTAAATTCCTGCTTGTTTTCTGGATTCCAGAAAAAATAAATCAACACAATTGAATTTAAAAACAAAGAGACTCAGTCTGCTGAGAATCCAACATGGCCGACACAGAGACACATTCATTACCATCACACTGATGACATCAGCACCATTCACATTTCCTGAGACCCCTCCCCCTCCCCCTCCCTCCTCTGTGGGTGTTTGGGGTCTCTGCAGCGTGTAGGCCTTCAGCTGATGGTTTTGCAGTTTTAGTTTCATATTTATATTATATTTATATTACATACATTATATTATATACATTATATTACGACCAACCAACAGATGTTAATTATTAAACCTGAGACCTCAGTAACACACACACACACACACACACACACACACACACACACATAGGTGTCTGTGTTGTATTGAGGTATCTACAGCTTTAACAGTCTGCTCCTCTGTCTTTAAACCTGAGTCATATACTGTAAAACAGTCAGAATTAGCATAATTAAATTAAATTAAATTAAATTTTATTTGTATAGCGCCAATTCATAACAGAAGTTATCTCAGGACACTTTTAAAATAGAGCAGGTCTAGACTGAACTCCTTATAACATTATTTACAGAGACCCAACAGTTCCCACCATGAGCAAGACCTTGGCGACGGGGGCAAGGAAAAACTGCCTGTTAAAAGGCAGAAACCTCAGACAGACCCCGGCTCTAGGTGGGTGGTCGTCTGCCTCGACCAGCTGGGGTGAGAGACAGACAGACAGACAGACAGACAGACAGACAGACAGACAGACAGAGGTGCATAGCAACAACAGTAGTAACAACTACACTAATAGTAGTGACTGATGACGATGAACATGAAGACCTTCTCTGTTTTCAGTTATGTATGTCTGTGGTCAAAGATCTTATACGATGGTGTGATGATCACTTGACGACAGTCTGATAGGTGGAAGTGATGTCAGGAGACAGGATCTGGATACTTCAGTTTGTGGCGATGTGTTTTGATCTGTCAGGTTAAAAGTTTTTAACATTAATGATAGGAAGTTGATGGAAGTCTTAACCTGCTCACTTATGGACCTACACAGAGCCACAGGTCACCTGTAACACCTGTGTGTCTGTACACTGGTAACACTGTTATCTGACCTCCTCTCTGCTCACTGAAAATCAATAGGTTGTCATTGATCGATTTAACATTGATCGATAAACATTTATAAACCAAAAACTCCATATATTGTGTGTGTGTGTGTGTGTGTGTGTGTGTGTGTGTGTGTGTGTGTGGAACAGGAACTGGTGTGCGTTCGTTGTGACAAAGACGGTGAGCTGTGTGATCGAGGACGGAGTGGAAACCTATGTGAAGCCTGATTATCATCCCTGCAGCTGGGGGAGTGGACAGTGCAGCCGGGTGGTGCAGTGAGTGCACACACACACACACACACACACACACATACACACACAGTAACACACGCACACTCACACAGTGACACACACACACACACACACACTCAGTCAGTGTACTTTACTACTGTATGTGAACTTTGAACTCTGCAGGTATCGGACCTACATGAGGCCACGGTACAAAGTGGCCTACAAGATGGTGACGGAGATGGAGTGGAAGTGTTGCCATGGTTACAGCGGAGAGGACTGCAACGATGGTCCAGTTGGAGGAGCAGGAACCCAGATTTCCACCACCAGACCTCAGCCCAGACCGGGTCAGGTAGGAGGGACGAGCCATGGACAGGGAAATGCAGGTTATGGAGGAGGAAGTTCTGGATCTGGACAAAGTGGAGGACACAGCGGTAAGTGGATTGTTACATAAATCTGTTGCTGATTTACTGTAACGGAATCTGACTTCTGTCCCTGCAGGGAGTCCACTGCGTCTTAAAAATCCAATAATCTGAGTTTTAAGCTTTAAAATGTCTTAAAATGTATTCTTTCTGATTTGGACAGGTCTTAAAAATAAGGCAATGTTACTTGTATAAAACTGCAACTATCTCTCTTTCAAATGTTGTTTGGACATGTTTGTATTGACTATGCTATCACCATTCACAAATACTGATTTTCCTTCATATGCTTGGTATTCATTTTGTCAGTAAATATAGATATAAATTAGGCCTCTATTGCATTCATGGTGGTCTTAAAGTTATTCAAAAGGTCTTAAATTGAACCTGTTGAAACCCTGTTCCTCGTCAATTAGGAGGGGGGATTGAGCCCACATTGACTCTAAAGTCCAACACTTGAACAAACTGGTTCTAGTTCTCCAGTTAGACCAGCACTGTGCTTAATGGAGATTCAAATGTAGACAGAATGGACCAGAGTCACCACTGAACCATTTATCTTTAATGTGTTCTCAGTCATCAGACTGTAGTGCTGACCTCTGCTGGTGAATGGCATAAACTTGTGGGTCAGGTGTGTGTCGTAAAATGTAAAAGTACCATAAAAGCTTCTGTGATTGGAGTTCTGAAATTTGCTTCCAGAACAAGCCGAGAATGAGAGGATGAGGCAGATGGAGGAGAAGATCCAGAGTCTGACCAGGAACCTCCACGATGTTCAGTCCACCCTGAACACCATGAAGGAACACTTTCAGCGGGAAGTCAACAAACCAGGAGGAGGAGGAGGAGGAGGAGGTGGAGGAGGAACCTCTTCAGGAGGAAGAAACCCTGCTGATGCAGCTCAGCCAGAGATTAAAGAGACAATTCATAGCATTCAGACCAAACTGGACCAGCTGGACAACCGCACACAGGTGAGTGGTGACCTACATTACCTGTGAGTACAGGAGGGATGCAGCCCAAAATATTAATTTATCACACATATATGTGTTTTATATATTATTTATATAGGAGCACAGACTGCGCTCTGATCAGATAGAAATCAGACCCTCTCAATTTTATTTATTTAGTACCAATTTATATAGCACCATTGCTTATGGTGGTACTGTTGGGTCTCTGTAACTAATGCTATAAGGAGTTCAGTCTAGACCTGCTGTATTTGAAAAGTGACCTGAGAAAAATTCTGTTATGAACGATGGGGGACAATGAGCAGTGATTATAATAATAATAGTATCTGTAGTAATAATAATAATAGTAGTAGTAATAATAATAATAACAATAATATCAGTGATATTGGCAATGGGAGTCAAGCAGGACCATGGCAGGAGGCTCCACCAGGATCCAGCGAGACGAGAAAGCACAAGAACTCTGGGGAAGAAGTGAAGTTAGTAACATACATTAATGGGACATGAATGAGTGCAGAAAGAAAGGGAGGGAGAGGAAGAGATGCTTAGTGCATCATGGGAAATCCCCCGATAGTCTAGGCCTATAGCATTATAACTAGGGTATGGTTCAGGACTCACCTGAGCCAGCCCCAACTATAAGCTTCATCAAAGAGGAACGTTTTATAGTATTTGTCTTTCTGACCACTCAAAGTGTTGTATACTACATGCCACATCTCAGCAATGGGAGCAATATGAGGTTCAATAACTGGTTCAAGAACACTTCAACATGCAGCCAGAAGAGCGAACCCCCAACCTTGATTAGTGGACAACCTGCTCTACCTCTGAACCACCACCTGATAATAAGGAGTTGCAGTAATCCAGCCTAGACATCACTGACTTTGATTTTCAGCCTAAAGCTGAACTTAAAAAAAAAAATCAAAACAGAAAAAATGTCTTCTTATATCCACCAATAACAGTCCAGTGTTTGTGTAGCTGTTGAAATGAGCAGAGATGTTGCGTCTTTCTGTTATGTTTCAATCAGAACTGCAGCTGACGTGTCTCTCCTCCAACAGGCTCATGATAAAACCCTGGTCAGCATCAACAACCACCTGGTGAATGGAAAAGGAAACGAATTGGATGGGGGTCTTTCTGGAGGAGGACTGAGTGGAGGAAGACTAAACCTGCTGAAGGAGGAGATCTTGAGGGAGTTGGAGAAGAGGGTGTCGCTGTCCTGCTCCTCCTGTCAGGTATCACATAACCTCCTTTAATGAGCCGCTGTGGGTGTTCAGACTGGAGTGTTTAAATTAGAAATTAAATATTAAAGTAAAGTGGCTTGCAGAGGAAGCAGCAAAGATAGGCAGGCTAAAGCAGCTTAAATAAGGCGCCCTGAATGATATTTGCCAATTGGAAGCTTGGGGGGATCAGCTGAGCCATCAGCTGATGTGTGTTTATGATTAGCTGTGATCAGCTGATGTAGCTGGAATTGAGCTGAGCTTGACTTCATGGCCTGCCTGAACTAAAGCTGTGCTTAATTTATCAACAGTAAACTGCAGTAAACAATAGTTGACAACAGTAACAATAGTTAGCAACAGTAACAATAGTTAGCAACAGTAAACAGCAGTAACAATAGTTAGTAGTAGACAGCAGTTGTTCAGTTCAGTTTGTGTTTTGTAGGCCGGTGTGGAGGATCTGCGCAGACAGCAGCAGCAGGACCGCGAGAGGATTCAGGCTCTGGAGAAGCAGCTCAGTGCTGCGGATGTTCGGTTTCGACAGGGTCTGGACGCATTGCGAGGGGAGGTGCTGCGTTCACAAGGATGCTGTGACACCGTCAATGACCTCAAAAACCGCATCACTGACGCTGAGCGCAAAATAAGCTCAGCCTCAGAGAACTTTGATGTTCTGCAGAACCGTCTGGACAAGGAGCTCAGTGGAGGAGCTGGCAGCAACAACGAGAATGGCGGCTCCAGATTAGGAGGGAGGGGTGTTGTGGTGACGGAGGACAGACTAGACAATCGGCTGAAGGACCTGGATCAGCGGATTAACAACACCAAGCAGAACTTCCACAGAGAACTGGGTGAACGGTTCGATGACCAGGGCTATAGGATCTCAGACGTGGAACTGGACGTGGGGCTAGTCAAGGACAGGGTGAATGAACATGACAAGAAGCTCTCGAAGCTGGAAAACAACACCTCCCTCCTGAGCTGGAGGCTGGAGGAGTGCAACTGTTTAAAACCTGAAGGTAGAGGAAGGTCACCACCTACTGGTGACCAGGGAGATGGAGGAGGAAGGTGGGGAGCAGGAGGAGGACATACTGGAAGAGGAGGTGGGCGTGATTTAGGAACTACAGGAGGAGGAACTACAGGAGGAGGTACACAGGGAGGATTATCTGGGACAGGAGGAGAAAGAGAAAATACAACAGAGAAGTCACTGGAGTGGCGAGTGGTCGCCAACGAGGATCAGATCCGCCATTTTAACACTCAACTCAAAGACCTGTCGGTTTCTGGAGACTCTCTGAACAACAAGGTGAGATTTCTATAATAATAATAATAATAATAATAATTAAAGCTGCAAGCAGCGATGAACGGGCCCTCGCACTCCACGCAACTTGGGGTGTGCTGCAGCCACGTCACGTGCCGGCGTAACAAGTGCAGACCACAACATGAAAATTTCAAGTAAATCCTATCAAAATCACCACACAGCGCTTACTTCCTGTTGCCAGTAGGTGGCGCTCTCACTATATCTGAATATTGTCATGTAAACATGTTCAGGGTGGGACTCTTATCAAACATGTACTTGTAAGTTTCGTTGACATCGGTCCATGTACACTGAAGTAAGGACAACTTTTCATGGCAAGTCCTTGTCCGGGCACGCCGTTCGACAAAATTTCAGAAATTGCACAGCTTTTAATCAGTAATGTCTTTTGATTGCGCTGATTAAATTTGAAGTTAATCTGATAAATTCCCCAGGAGGAGTTTGTGTAAATACAACATGCATATCGCCGAAAATGACCACGAAATTCAAAATGGCCGACTTCCTGTTGTGTTTGGGTTATGGGTCCAAGAGGCTTTTTTGTACATCCTAACATGTATATTCAATTCAATTCAATTTTATTTGTATAGCGCCAATTCATAACAGAAGTTATCTCAGGACACTTTTCAAATAGAGCAGGTCTAGACCGAACTCTTTAAAACATTAATTACAGAGACCCAACAGTACCACCATGAGCAAGCACTTGGCGACAAGGGCAAGGAAAAACTGCCTGTTAAAAGGCAGAAACCTAGGACAGATCCTCCGGCTCTAGGTGGGTGGTCGTCTGTCTCGACCAGTTGGGGTGAGAGAGAGAGAGAGAGAGAGAGGTGCACAGCAACAACAGTATTGGCAATGGCAATCTAGCAGGACCATGGCAGGAGGCTCCACCAGGATCGACAAGAACCTGCGAGACGAGAAAGCACAAGAACTCCGGGGAAGAAGTGAAGTTAGTAACATGCATTAATGGGACGTGAATGAGTGCAGAAAGAGAGAGGAAGGTAGGAGCTCAGTGCACCATGGGAAATCCCTCGATAGTCTAGGCCTATAGCAGCATAACTAAGGGATGGTTCAGGACTCACCTGATCCAGCCCTAACTATAAGCTTTATCAAAGAGGAATGTCTTAAGCCTACTCTTGAATGTGGTGAGGGTGTCTGCCTCCCGAACCACAACTGGAAGCTGATTCCACAGGAGAGGAGCTTGGTAACTGAAGGCTCTGGCTCCTGTTCTACTTTTAGGGACTATAGGAACCACAAGTAGCCCAGCATTCAGAGAACGTAGTGTTCTAGAGGGGTAATAGGGTACTATGAGCTCTTTAAGATATGAAGGGGCCTGACCATGATGAGCTTTATAGGTGAGGAGGAAGATTTTAAATTCTATTCTACATTTTACAGGGAGCCAATGCAGAGAAGCTAGTACAGGAGAGATGTGATCTCTTTTTTTAGTTCCTGTCAGTACTCGTGCTGCAGCGTTCTGAATTAATTGGAGCATTTTAATGTTCTTGTTGGGGCAACCTGATAATAAAGAGTTGCAGTAATCCAGCCTTGAAGTAACAAATGCATGGATTAGTTTTTCTGCATCTGTCTGTGATAGTATGTGTCTAATTTTTGTAATATTACGTAAATGAAAGAAGGCAGTCCTAGAGGTCTGCTTTATGTGGGAGTTAAATGACAAATCCTGATCAAAGATAACTCCAAGATTCCTGACAGTGGTTCTAGAGGCCAAGTTAATGCCATCTAGAGTAACTATATCTTTAGACAGTGAGTCTCTAAGGTTTTTGGGGCCAAGAACAAGAATTTCGTTTTTTTCTGAGTTTAACATCAGAAAATTGCAGGTCATCCAGGATTTTATGTCCTTAAGACATGTTTGTAATTTAGATAATTGATTAATATGACTGCCAATTTTCATTCATGTCCCCTAAACACCCCCAAACTGCTCTCACTATCAGTGAATATTATCACTTCGATGTGTTCAGGGCGGGACTCTTATCAAACAAGTGAAGTTTGAAAACCAATTGACAATGTACACTCAAGTTATAGCAAACTCGTGTTTTGTGGCGTTACATCATAATTTCACGCCACGCCACATTAATCACATATCATCAACAATGTGTTTTGCATTTTATAAGTACATTTCAGCTGGATCTGATCATCCTGCTAGGAGTAAAACATGGAAGTATAAAAAATTAAAGCTGCAAGCAGCATTGGGCGGGACCTCGCCGTCAACCTATGTTGGGACCTGCACGGAGGTCGCCTGCCGCAGCCGCCGGATGCCACATTGCCACACACCCAAGCCCTCATCGTCGGAAGCCGAGGGAGACCACTCCACATCGTCACACGTTACCTTTGCCTTCGCCACGACTGAATTTTGTGCAAAGTTTCAGTTTTCGGCATGTTTAGGCCACAGTGTCACCATGGCAACGCAAAGTTCCACGCAAATTCTCAAGATTCATAAGATGTTATCGTCATCGGCCTAAGGAACTTTTGACAGAATTTCAGCTGGATCAGGTCAATCTGCTGGAAGATATACATAAAAGTATAAAAATGACATTTCCTTTCACCACTAGGTGGCACTATTATTGAATATTATCATATAGAAGTGTTAAGGGCAGAACTCTTATCAGACAAGTTAAGTTTGGAGCCGAATGGACAATGTACACTCAAGTTATAGCAACTTTGTGTGTTCTGCCGGTACATCAAAATTTGACGCCACGCCACGGACACGCCCTTTGACAAAAACTCACCACAATCATCAAATATCATGAACAACAAGTTTTGCATTTCCTGACTAAATTTCAGCTCGATCTGCTCATCCTGCTAGGAGTAGAACATGGAAGTATAAAAAATTACATTTCCTTTCACCACTAGGTGGTGCTCTCACTATTACTGAATATTATCACATAGACGTGTTCAGGGCAGGACTGTTATCAAACATGTAAAGTTTTATTGAGATTGGATCATGTACGTAGAAGTTATGACAAATCCCTCTTTCATGGCGAAGGATCGAAATTGGACGCCACGGGCACGCTTTTTTACGGAATGTCGTAAATAGCACAACTTTTAATTGTGAATGTCTTTAGATGGCTGTGTCTAAATCTGAAGTTGATCCGATAAATTCCCTAGGTTTGAGTTTGTTCAAATACAACATGTGCAAATCAGCAAAAATGACCACGAAATCCAAAATGGCCGACTTCCTGTGTAGTTTGAGGTATGCGTCCAAGAGGCTTTTCTGCTTGTCCCATCATGATACACATGCGTACCAATTTTCGTATATGTCGGTCATACGTGTCTTGGGGTCTGATTCTGGGGGGCGGGCACGGGTACAATTGCATATGTGAATTTCCTTTTTTTTGCAGATTTCCCTGACTTTTCAAGCATGTTGCGGCTGTTAAATATGCAGTCGAAGAGGCAGAAAAATAATAATTCCTTCCATTACAAAAAGGCCTTCGCACAGTCAGTGCTCGGGCCCTAATAATAATAATACATTAAAGTTTCGATATGATCATTATGAATGTTAACATGTAAATCATCTCTGAGGTTGTGGACCTGAGTCATGACGTCCGTAAGATCAAGGCTTTGACCGGTGATCACGGTGAACACTTTAACCGGATTGTGACGGAGGTAGAGCTGCTGGGGCAGGACTGTGAGCTGTGCAGGAAGGTGGAGGATGAGGTGCAGAGACTGAAGAATCACTCCCAGGATGCACTAGGACGCATGCAGAGTCTCATCAACAGACTTCAGATCAGACTGGACTCAGGAAGAGAAGGCTGCTTCCAGATGTGTTCACACCTGGAGAACGAAATCCACCTGCTGCGAGACGATGTCAGGAAGTGCACTGGCCAATGTAAGAGCAGCCCAGACATGCCCACAGGTCAGGTCAACCAATCAAATGATTCTTCACTAAACCCTGCCCCTTTTCTTCTTTCTAACCTGTCAATCTTTCTTTTTCCTGTGAGTTAACTTTCTTTGTTGTATGCAAACGAAACCTCGACTAGGTGGTGGTTCTGGTAGCACCAGTGGCACTGGTGGTACCAGTGGACGTGGACCTGGGTTGGATGCCGAGAAGCCTTTAGATGGCCACAGTGTGATCGGAGGCTCCATCAATAACAATCAGTTGAAGACGATGCAGGGTGAACTGTCGGAGGTCATCCTCACCTTCAGCTCCATCAACGACACCCTGAAGGGGCTCGAACACACGGTGCAGAAACATGGAAGTGTCATTACCGACCTTGGTGAGCCCAGCTCACTCTCTCTGCAGGGTTAGGGTGCATTCATCACTACACCTTTCTGGGCCAACGTTCACGCATTCATCCTCTGACCCCCAACAGGAAACACCAAAGATAAGATCATCTCTGAGCTGGACAAAATCCAGCAGGAGGTAACGGAGCACATCGAGGACAGCCGCGACCGTCTGGATGGGATGGACCGGGATGTTCGGCGGTTTAAGAGCATGCTGCTGGTGGAGGTGGGAGACTGTAGGAAGTCTGGAGACGGGCTGGAGAAGAGGCTGTCAAAGCTGGAGGGAGTCTGTGGTAGGCTGGACAGTGTCTCCAATTCCATCCTCAAGATCAAGGAAGGTACAGTTCCTTAATAAATTTCCTCCCGGAGATCAATAAAGTATTTCTGCTTTCTGATTCTGTTTTAATTAATTTCCCTTAAAAAATGCCTCAGAAAACCTTTTTAAATTTGTGTTTGGACTGACTGTGGGAGCTGAAGACAGGTTCAACAGTTTCCTATATGTACTGTTCATCTGCACTTTAGCAGTATCTGAGTGAAAAAGCATTTAAAAAGGCTGTCTCAAAAATCCAGTACAGGATCCATGTGTCCCCTGTGGTGATGTCTCACATGTTGTGGTGTCTCATGTGTTGTTGTGTGTCCAACACAGGACTGAACCGACACGTGTCAAGTTTGTGGACGTGTGTTTCTGGTCTGAATGACTCGGTCATCCATCACGGAGGAATCATGGACTTTATTCAGAAGAACCAGGATGATGTCTACAGCAGGATGAAGAACCTGAACTCGAGTCTGAACCAGGTCCTTAAAGACCTCCAGAGTTTCTCTGAGCCCAACCTGACTGGTGAGCTGGTTATATTCTTTGTTATTATATTGCTATGGTCAGCACTAATCAGGGATCAGTACCAACTAAAGACCAGTCTTCAGTATCCACGTCTGGTCAGCTGATATTTGACTTTATTGTCAGTTTATTGTTTTAGTGTTTTCTTCAGACATTAGAGTGTTCAGAGTTCAGCAGTGAATTCATATTGTTGTCAGTGAAGTTCATTGAATTTATTGACTCGTGAGTTCAGTATTTTCAGTGAGTTACTGCCCTCTGCAGGATAAGTACATGTTGAGCTTCTCAGTATTAACTGATAATGGTGTTGAATGCACTGAATGTTCTGAGAACAGTGATTTGGAAAATGTGTTGAAGCAACTGAAGAAAACCTAATTAAATATTAACTGAAGCATTCTAAATGCCAGAGAAACTCAGTGTAAGCTGGTGTGTTGATGTTGTATTGTTCTGTTTTGTAGGCACCGTGCTGCTCAACAGAGGTTTGAATCTGTAGCTCTTTTAGCCGACTAACTGCAGACTCAGGAAGGGATTTGTTGTTTTAACACTGATAATCATCAAAAGAGAAAAATCCCAAAACTGGTCTGGTTTAGAAGTTGAATGTTTACTAATCAGCATATCAGAAGACCATCTTGTAGTCTACTGGTTTACTTAACAGTTTACTTCAGACAGAAGAAAGTTTACTCAAACTAAGACTAACAACACTAATGCCTAGCTGAGCACTGCGTGTCCATCACAGAACCTTGCTTTTAATTCCAGCACCGTGTTAGCAGGTTAACCTCTTAAAGTCTGCTAGCTTTAACTTCATGCACGCTTACTGTTTGTAAAAAAAACATGTTCAAACCCACACAACTTTATTTAAATTAGATCATTCATATCATTATACAGGCCTGCCTGGACCCCCAGGGCCCCCAGGAGAAAGGGGGCAGCAGGGTCCCAGAGGGCCTCTTGGCCCTCCTGGACGACAAGGTGAAAGTGGTTTACGAGGTCTGCCCGGTACGAACATTTTTAATATATTTAATGTATTTATATGTCCTGATATATAAGGAAAGATACAGAATGATGAAGGAAATTGTTTAGTTAAATGCTGAATACTCTTCCAGGGCTCCGGACAGACTGTTACCTCCACCTTTTCCCCTTCTTATCTTTTGGTTTATATAATTTCTTTGCTGTATATATTGTTTATATTGTATTTTTATTTTATTATATCAAGCACTGTACTGGAGGGGGCAACCTAGCATTTCACCGCGTAATGTACAGAAAATGTTGAGGACCAGTAAGAAGACCAATACTTACATAAATAAGAGGTAGAGTTTATAAAGACATGAAGGCAAAATTAATGAACGACACAATCCAATCCTCTGAATATAAAGTTCATCTGTACAGAGCCTTAACCTGTCTCCATTCAGTACATTTAGCATTAATCCAAACAGATTTTTGGCTGCTCATTGTGATTTTTTATTTACTGCCTTTTCTAACAGCTGCTCTGGTTTCTTACAGGTCCCAAAGGTGAACCAGGTATCTATCTATCTATCTATCTATCTATCTATCTATCTTTCTATCGCTCCATTTGTCTGTCGCTCCAGTCTGTCTGTCTGTGGCTGGATCACTACTAGACTGGACCATAATTTACCACTATACTCTGGCTCCGAATGCAGAATAGATCTAAATATTCTGGTTTATTTTGTACAGTGGAAGGAAGAAGAGACTGACATCTTCATGTCGACTTCACTAAAACTAAGAAAAATCAAAATACTAAAATCTGACGCATTCACTTCAAAAGCCACAACATGATACAACCAATGAAACCATTGAACCTGCCAGAGTTATTATACCAACTGTTACACAGCTGTGTGTGTGTGTTTTCAGGTCTGCCTGGTGTTGATGCCCATGTACCCAGACTGTCATTCTCTGCTGCTCTCACTGTTCCCATGGAGAGAGCTGGAACCATCATCTTTGACAAGATCTTTGTCAATGAAGGAGACTTCTATGACCCAAGAACAGGTAAATATGAGGGGCTGTGACTGAACACCGAACTGGTCCCGATGACCAGACAAGGAGCTTGTTAGCTCACTGCCATCAGTGTGAGAAAGTGATAAAGGCGCTATCTTAATGCAGCCATTTAAACTCACATCAACACCTGCACATCATGAATCATTTATCAAGAGTTTAATGGCAACTGTTCCTCCTACACACTTAGAAGGCTGAGGTGTATCCAGTCGGTTGTAATCAGCAACTCCATCACTAAATGGCACTAATTCCTTCACACTGGCGAACCCAGTTCAGATGTAATCATGAGCTTGTGTGAAGATGTCAGGAGTACATTTGTTCTCCCTAATTAAGCCGAGGTATAATACTTGTTTTAAAACCATATCAGCTGTATGACTGATAGATGTTTTACCTGTACAGTGTGTTCTACATCTTACACAAAAAATGATGTTTCGATCACTGAAATGTCTCCTGGTGTTGGTCCGAGCTTTAACAAACACACTCAATCTGTCCTTCAGGTATTTTTACTGCCCCCGTAGATGGACATTACTTCTTCAGTGCTATCCTGACGGGCCATAAAAATGAGAAGATAGAGGCAGTTCTGTCGAAGTCGAACTACGGCATGGCCCGGGTGGACTCTGGAGGCTACCAGCCAGAAGGCCTGGAGAACAACCCTGTCGCCGAGGCTAAAACCACTCCGGGATCTCTTGCCGTCTTCAACATCATCCTGCCTCTGCAGACTCGGGACACGGTCTGCATCGACCTGGTGATGGGAAAACTGGCCCACTCTGTGGAGCCACTCACAATCTTCAATGGCATTTTGCTGTATGAAGACATGTGACAAGTTCATGCTGACAACTGAAGACCAATTCATGACAAACCCGCAGGAGGCTGCACCATAAAGTATGATGTCTCCTCTCTCAGGAGTGATCCTAAACTGATGACAGAATATTGTAAATTATTGGCTCTATGTTATTATTATAAAAACTCTTTATGTCACATGTGGACGACAGCAGGGGTTGATTTAATACAGTGAGCTGATCTGATGTCAGAGCTGATGTAAACCAGGATCACCCGGTGCCTGGCAAACCTACTCCCTACTTGAAACTTTTAAAGAACTGTTTGGAAGCACAGGAATTCTTGTGGTGAATATTGACAGTGTAACAGTCTGAGTGCTGTTGGCCTCACCTACAGGCTGCAGAGTTCATTACAGAATCTGAACAGTTGCAGGGGGTGCTACAGGATACATCATCTCACTGGTAGATGTTGAAGTATGGCATTGGGGACCAACGTGTTGGACAGACAGATGGGCGCTCAGCACTATCCTTAAGCCCTGCCCCTGCCAGGTCAGATGTTGATGGCAACATGTGACAGTGTGACTTTAAATTTGATGAAAAACAAATAAGCTTTTTGCTCTGAAGCTTTATAAAAAGCAAAATGTCTTTTTTGTTTGATATTATGAGATGAGTTCACTTTGTGAATGTTTCATATTAAGCTGCACCTTTTCTGTTTTATGTGCTTCAAAGTATTTATGTCATTATCACATAATTTCACTTTGATGGACAAACACCAAAAGCCAAGGCTGTAAATACTCTACACTTTCTTGCTATCTAAAATCCAATTAAAGAAATACATAGATTGTTAAATTAAGTGGAGGTAGTAGTCAAGTGTGAACCTATCGTGACAGCACCCATTCGTTTGTGGAGTACCGTTTTGAAGCCTCGAATTTGTTGTTTTGGTCGCCGCCACGACAGTTAGACGGCGGCTCACCTGGTCACACATGATCTCGTATTACAGCTATAGCTACAGTACACTAAAATAAGTTTGAAACGATTTTAAGTGAGAAATAGGCAATGCAACAGAACAGAATCTTGATCCATATCTGATCAGCACTGCCTAGTTTGACAGTATGATCTGAGTTTGGTGCGTTGACTTGGACGGACTCACTGAGAATGACCTGTCAATCAAAAGGTAGCCCCGTCCTAAAGCATATGCTATCTATGCTATCTATTTTATTGAAACTGGACCGTAATTTACTAAATGAACATCATAATGTATTGAAGATGTGAAACTAGTGATTGAGACCATAAACTCATCAGGAAACTGTTTACTGAGCTCATAAATAAAGTGAGAAGTCAACTCATTCTCTATTAGAGTGAATGGTATCGGCGGGTTATTGCAGCAAATTCGATTCAATTCAATTTTATTTGTATAGCGCCAATTCATAACAGAAGTTATCTCAGGACACTTTTCAAATAGAGCAGGTCTAGACTGAACTCCTTATAACATTATTTACAGAGACCCAACAGTACCACCATGAGCAAGCACTTGGCAACGGGGGCAAGGAAAAACTGCCTTTTAAGAGGCAGAAACCTAGGACAGATCCTTCGGCTCTAGGTGGGTGGTCGTCTGCTCCCCCTGCTGGCCTTTACAAAGAATGCAGGTTTTAAGAAACTTCCGCGTTGGCTTTTTTTACTTTTCTAACGCGGAAGCGCTGTCCATCATATATACTGTCAATGTTAGTAGTATCACAATGTAAACATTCATTCAGCCTTTATTTAAAATTTAATAATTACACCATGGGAATTACAAATATACTAAATCAGTTAAAACATACATAAAGTACAAGAATGGAGCTCTATGGCACAGATGAATAAGATATATCAGGCTTTGATACCCACTGTACTTATTGACAAAAATAGAAATATTTAGTATCAACAGGCTAATTTAAAAGTAATGTTAAGCACATGGAGCTGAGAATGATGAAGGTTTTATCTGATGAGGCTTTTTCTAAGGATAATTCTCATTATTATGGCAATAATATAAACTGTGAACTAAATCAACAGTTTTATCTGACTCAGCTACTGAACATGATGTGAGGATGTGTGAGGATGTGTGACCTGTTCCACTATACAGATAAACCAATGACTGATATTTATTCTACTTATATTCTGTTTATCATCTGCATTTACACTGAGAAGAGCATGTTTATTCTCTGACAGACTTTAGCTCCAGTTCTCATGTTTTTACACTTCACACTTTTGTATTGATGAATCATTTTCAGTCATTAAAGTAAACACAAGTGAAACCCAACAGGTTTTTAACAATTTGTGCTGTACATAGTCTGAACCACATTGGAAGTTTTCAATTAAATTTTATCAAATTTGTGGCATTGACCAACTTAACTCCTTTGTACAAAAGGTTGGATTTGCTTGAGTGGTATCGCTTTCATTAAAGCAGCTTTCAGATGACACTAAGGTGGGTTTGATCAGAGGCTCATCAAATTTGTATTTAGCGTTCACCTGTGAAATATGGCTTTACCTCACGTTTCTAGCAGATCTTTGCCTCCCAAGTAGCATTGTGATAGTGGGAAATATGGCACCAGAACTAAGCCAAAGTGTAAGAAGTCAAATTGTTAGTCTCACTGAAGAGGAACTTTCTCAGCATGAAATCATGGCTAGAATTAAGGTTTTTAATGTGGAAGTGCATGGAACATCAAAAAATCAATACATCAAGTTTTGTTCGCTGAGAAATAGAAAAGCAATTTCAACACACATACAGAATTTGCTAAATAAAAAACGCAAGCGTCCAATCAGCAAAATGACTGTTAAAAGAAGGCTGTCTTGTAGAGGAGTCAGAAGATGAGTAGCAGTTTCTAAACCATTTCTCAGGAGGAGAAATGAGGCCAAGCACTTGGGGTGGGCTAAGAAATACCAACATTTCACATTTGACTGGCAAGAAGTCCAATTTACTGATTAATCTATGTTTTATATTTATGAAAGTAACAAATGGATGTATGAAAAGAGAGGAAAAGGAGAGAGTGATCCTTTAGTATATCAAACCAGCTTTCATCACGAGAAGCAATCTGGAACGTTGTCAGATTATGCTGGGATAACATGGCCCTTGAGGTTTTACACAAACTTGTGAGGTCCATGCAAGCTGGAGTGCAAGCTGTCATTACGGGGCAGCCAGTAGGTGGAGAGGGGCGTAATCACAAGGTTAACGGTTTGATTTCCTGGCTCTCCCTGTCTATTTGTCCAAGTGTCCTTGAGCAAGACACTGAACCCATAGTTGGTCCTTGGGCACCACAGCTGCCCACTGCTAGTGTACAGGATGGGTCAGATGCAAAGGACAAATTTGAATTCAGTGGATGTGAAAATACTGAGAAAAGGACAATAAAGGCCAAAACTTCAACATATACCCAGTACTACAGGATCACATGTGTAACAAAGTCTTTTGCATAAAACTCAGTGTGTAGATCGGCTGGAGTTATGGACAGTTAAGGAATTAGCTGCCGTGCAAACATAATTAGTGTGATATTAATATTAATGCATAAGACTGAAATAACTGCACTAACAGCAATTTGAATGATGTTCATGTTTGTCCATAAAATAAAGCTCATCAAATCTTTTATGAATTATAAAACACTTTTTTCCCCTTTTTTTTTAAGTACTTTGTATGTGGATCACAGAGTTATCCAGATAACAAAAACCCTAACCCTGGTTGATTATTTGGTTCTTTGAAACTGTTTGAAAATGAATATGTTAATCTGTTGTCATAGCAACAACTTCCTCAAAAAGGAAGTTATTTTCAGACACAGATGTCTTTCTTACATTTGTAATGAAATTTGTTGATATAAATAACATTTCAAATGAGAACATGCAGGTTATTGTAAAGTCAGCTTTATCTGTTGGTTTTATTGCCACAGAAGTATCACAATGGAGAGTCACTAAAGCAATTTGACGCAGAAGGAGTGCTGTTGTACTGAATATCAGCTATGACTCACAGTTGACAGCTGCTTTGGTGAGTGAATTAACAGCTGGATCAGACTGTACATTGCTCCATATTTTCCTGCCTCCATGGATGATCTCCAGTAAATCACAATCAAAATCAGTCTCTTTATGTTTATATAAATCATCTCACTGCCATGATCTCCATCACCTGGAGTCCTGCATCAGACAGTTTCTGTCTAATAGTGGTAGGACGTGTGTGTCCCTGCCTCTACATCCTGGGTAACATCTGTGACAGCTGGTTTACTCCAGGGGAACAGCAGTATACCCAAAGCTGTCTGTCACAGCTGTTAGAGGGGATTTCCTTGCTCCATAAATATTCTCTATCTCTCTCAAGTGGGCCTTTGAGCCTATTCAAGCCTATTCGTTGGATGCCATGGTGAAATTGTTTTTACATTTTTTTTATCAAGTTTTAGGATGAATGAGTCAGGGTTGAGATAATAATTTCCCTCTGTTCTTCAGGTAAAAACAGCTGTTGTATTATTAAAAATGTGATCAACAGTGATCCCTGCAGTCTGGGAGTAAACCTGTTGGGGTTTAAATATTTAAATATCAATTTAAATACTTATGGGGAGGAAAAATGCACACAAAGCGAAAATCACTCTGAAATACATGTCAAGGCAACTCCCAGATGCAGGCTGTTGGCCTAAAGTTAATTAAGTGCTATCATTTTGGTCAATATCTCATAAAGGACCACAGACAAACAGGAGGCAAGGATTTTTTTTATTTCCAGGCATTCATTCTCCCACGTATTTCATAGCCTTATGGGCAGTTTATGACTGACTATGAATATTATAAATAAATTCAAAATGCACATTTTGGCCATTGATGTCGAACAAACAGAATATGGCTGCAACTCAAGGAATATGAGTATTAATAATGTGTAATGTAATTATGTGTAACTCCTCTTGTTTTTACTTTGTCTTTAAAGAATTGAGGTGGTCTTATTGGCATTTTTTTTTAGAGTAGATTTTAACATTTTAATTATCACTTTTAAGGCACGAAATGGGCTGGCCCCAAGCTATATTTCAGACCTTTTAATCTCAGACCTTTTGATGTGCCTCCATGGGCTGTGAGGTCCTCAAATGCAGCTCTCCTGGTGATTCCCAAAACAAGATTAAAAAACAAAGGTGACAGAGAGTTTGCCATCAGAGCCCCCAAAGAGCCTTCAAGAGATCTGGATGGCAAATTCTATCACTTCTGTTCAGTCTCTTCTTAAAATGCTCTTTTATAGTCTTGCCTTCCTGTGACCCTTTTTACTAACCTTTACTCACCATGGTTTTATTGTTTTAATTTTGTATTTGTACTGTTTTAACTTATATTTATTGCTATGTTTTACATTGTTTATTGTTTTATTGTATATATTGTTACTGATGCTGTTATGGTTCCTAGTATTCTGTTGTTTTTAATCTGTAAAAGCACTTTGTAAACCTGCAGGGTCAGTGGTTTGACTCCTGATTGCTCGGCATTACAGAGAATTTGTGCTTGTTTTTCAGGGAATTCACTTCTGCAATTTCAGCAATGTTTTACAAATGTTATCTGTCAGCATTCACTGTGCATTTTAACTAGGGAATGCATTTTCTAGTTATTGTTTTTAACAACAAAGACCAGATTTATCTTTCATGACAGTATTTGTCATTAAAGTGTGTGTGTGTGTGTGTGTGTGTGTGTGTGTGGGGTCATGTGATTTCAGAGAACATGACCGTCAAATAGAAATTCAGTCCAGTATAGAGACCAGCAGAGACCAGAAGAGGTCAGAGACCGCTCACTGCTCCACCAAGGAAGAACACCTTCAGCCCAAAATAATGAAGACTCAATGTTTAACTTTGTTTAGATGTAATGTTCATAGACAACACATCAGAGACCTGCTGTTTAATATTCAATGTTTCATTTCATATTTTCATCAGAAATGTAGAAAATAACTATGTATTCTCTTTATTTCTATATTTTGTTATTTTTTATGTATTGTTATTTTCATTAGGTGAAAAAAGAGTAAAATAGAATCTGAACTTTCTGTCTGTTTCCTGTTTCTTCTTTTCTCCATCTAAACCTCCAGCTAAAGGTAATACCAAGTTTGTAATGATTCACTTATTGCAAAGCAGCGCAGCTCCCAGTAGCAGTGGTGCTAGGAACGCTATTGAAATTACTCTGATTTCTATTGTTAAAGTGAATGCTTCAGCATGTTGTATTCAACTTCTGTCTAACTCTAATGCTTTTTTACAATATTAAGCTTTTTTCAACATATTTTTTACAATGAAAGCAAATGGGAGCACAAATAATTGCAACGGTTGACAGTTCAAATCTACTATTACTGGTAGTACTGCTACTACTACTACTGTTAGTACTGCTTCTGCTTATACTGTTGATACTGCTACTACTGTTGGTACTAGAACTGAAATGACTCAGTGTGTTCAGTGAAGCAGGGCAGCACTACTACTAATAGAGTCTTATTTCAAACCCTCAGCTTACTTTGATTCAATGATTGATTACACCTGCATTAGTTTATAACTGGTGTGTCAATACTAAGATATTTTCAACAGTTGCAAATATTTCAGACATGCTCTGCTGTTCACTGGCAGAGTGGTTAAAGCCCATGGCCCACAACTACATGGTGAGTGGTTTGATTCCTCACCCATGACTTATAGCTGTTTCAGATCCCACATACAATAACACATGGTTGATTGGGTGATTGATTTAACCTTTATCAATGCCTGTGGAGGTTGGTGTGGTTTACACTCAGCTGCAGGAGAAAGAGAAGTGTGGGGAAGGCTTGTGAGAGCAGCGCCAGGTGAGTTGATGTTCTCAGCTGGTACTCATTGAGTAATCATACTCACCTCTCTAAAGGCAGTAGTGTGCAGGACTTGAGTTGGCCACCACACACAGACCAGACAGGATGTCTGACGTGAAAAGTCACAGATTTTGGAAGAGGGCTAGAGAAGCCTCAGAAGAGCTGTAAAGCTGAGTGTGTTGTATTGATGCTGTGTGCGGCTAAGGCCAATAAATGTATGTTGATGAACTGACCTGTGATGCTGTATTGTGTGCTGAAGGAACCCACGGTAGTAGAGAGACTTGCTACAATGCCCAATTGTTTTTGAGATGTTTAACAATTGGCAAGTCTCTTCCTTTTTATTATTAATGATTTCAGATCCAGCACAGTGATCAGAGTTAATGCACTCTTTGCCTTGTCAGTTCAAATCCCAATGATAGAAAGCTTTAAGAAAATTGACTTAAACGCTCTGAGCTAGTTTGATACACACATAGATGTTATAATTGTTATCATGTTATTTCATACATTATGAATTT